TCCGTAACTCACCTTCATGATCAAACATGCTTGCATAGGACTGAATGAACCGTCTGTCATCTCAAGGAAGATCATGTTGTAGTGCTGCTTCATCAATAGAAGACATCGTCGGCGATACTGAAATGGGGGCTGTAATACAAACAAAAGTTTCCAGCGACTCAGTGGTGAAGGTTGTGCTATAGAACTGTAAGGGTCACACTGTTGTGGCAACGAATCTCACCCACGCTACGTGAAGATCTCGACGGTTCCTACATAGGTAGTATAATAGTTCAATTCGTTAGTATTGCTGTGCCTCACGATGTTCATAGGTGGAATTCCTATCTAACCCTAACGTTTCGACAGGGTCATCTTCTTCTTCTCGTCTTCCCTGTCGAAACGTTAGGCCGTTAAATAAAGATTCCACCTAAAAACCTCGAGAGGCACAGCAATACTAACGAACTGAACAACGGTGCCAAGGTTACAGCACGAGAGAAGCTGGAGAATATTCTAGGTAGTAGTCTTCCCTGACTGCAAGAGAATTAGAATAATGACCAAGGGGGAAGGGGGAATACTTTCAACCCCTCACAGAACCTTTTATGAGGACCTAGGTGCATCGACAGAGTCTGGAATACAGGTCTCAACAATCATGAAGATCGATTTGGGATTTGCTTCACACTGACGAGAGCGATAGCGAAAACGTTGGGGTGCGTTCATATTTTGCGGCAGCCTTCACTAGCGAGCACCAGCAACTGACAGCGACCAAGGCTGCGTTCATACTTTGCGGCAGCGCTCCCCAGCGACCATCAGCGTCTCGAGAGTAGGAAAGTGTGGATGTCGACATAGCGTCTATCAGCATCCACCAGCGACCAGGAATAGAGAGTATGGGGAAGAAGGAGGGCAGCAGACTGCTGGTAGAGTATGGGGAAGTAGGAGGGAGGAGACAGCTGGATTAGGCGTCGTGAAATTGTGGCATGTGCACAGCACCGTACTACTACACAATATCGTGCTCTGATGGCTGGTAGACGCTGGTAAGATCGATATCGATATCCATTCCTTCCCAGTACCTCGGGACGCTGATGGCCGCTGATGGAAGCTGCTGCAAAGTAAGAACGCAGTACAACTACACTGCGGCGAAACCTTCCCGTAGGCGCATGTCACGTGGGCCTCATACACCAACACTGCATTTCGGCAAATTTGGACCGCCTATAATTTGCTGCGGATTGAGGGGAGCGTAGCATCTCCAAAAAAGTGAAGCAGTCTCCTCGCAGGTTACATAGTAGTTTTCGCACCAGACGTTGGGGCCTGCTAGAGGATCTGGGTTTGGCGCAGCGCCAGCCCCTTTCCATCGCTTCAACAGGTGTAACGTGGGTTTTTGGCACTTTGCGTTGGCGCGAATGCCAAGATTCTAGAAGTACGTCTGCAGCAAAAACGACTCGGCGATGCCTGGGACAGTTTCCTGTTTGTCTTCCAGTGGTTATATGTGTGAATCCGTGTTAATATGGGGGCTTTCTGCGCTGGCCAGTTTCTGGGAATACAGAAAGACAATATAAAATCGATTCAAGTCATAGTGGTAAGTTAAAAATAGATAGACGGATATCTGTATAACGAAAATATAAATAAGTCGGTGGGTATATGACGGCAAGTGGAAGATGAGTCATGATAATTGGAATGACGCATATCGTTGAAGATGTCGTTTATCGGAGTTCGTGTTTAGAGCTGAGGTGTACGAGCTTCCTGCGACTAGGTATGTTCGCTCCAAAGTGACCAAATACAGTGCGAAGCGCCGTCTGACACAACCCACATGTTTGTTCGGGAGATAATGTTGAGTTTGGGACAGCCTGAAAGTTTCTTGAACATCGTGGTAATGAAGGAGAGACTCTGAGGGATATGAAGGTCATACCGAAAACTCGTCAAGTTCATCGAACTCTTTAGACACGTCCGACTCATTGGCTAAAATCTCGATAAAGAGACAGCCCAGCAGTAATATGGTGCGCATGTGGAATGAATGCATCAGAAAGTGACAAAGTTGATCGATCCTCTAATAGCGCGCAAATCCTGTTCCCTCCTCATCCCGGCGGTTGGACTGTTTATACGGAATTTATCCGAAATCTCCCAGTTATTGGGATTTGTAAGTAATCGCTTGTATGAGTTTGGGGGTGAATTTTTATGTAACTCTTTGAAGCTCACCAGGAGTATCAACAGTATCAAATTGACAAAGCACCACAGCATTCGCCAACTACCTGAAAATTGTACTATTTCCTCTCTGGTTTGGTGTTTCTGCATGAGTGCGCTTCGCTCTGGTTGTGGCATACACCTCGGAGAGACGCGAAAAGAAAGCTCGAGTGTAGTTCAGAAGATCAGAGTAGCGGTATTGCGGAAAAGGGTACAGTATTCGCCCCAAACATCTGAAAGGAAGTGAAGGGTGCGAATTTGCGTTCTTCCCGTTTTTTTCCTTGCTTGGAGTCGCTTTCCACTTGTTTTTTTCTGCAGAATCTCTTATACGGCTCATCACGCTTCATATGAACGCATCCTCCAAGTCGGAGTACCAGCGAGAAAGATTTGGTGGGGGGAGGGGGTGAATTCTAGGGCAACCGCTATTTCACTTTTATTTAGTCCGCATCTGAGGTAACAGCAGATGCCGAGAAAGAGCTGATTCCAACCGTAAAAGAGATTCAGTTGAAAAATTATGTAGGAAACGTGCTACTGCAAAACAACAAAAAACCGCGAATTCACATTTCACCTTATTTTCTGAATACAAAGGCGAGTACACTGTATTTCCTAGCTGCCTAGCTGGCTGACTTTATAGGCTGAAGCTCTGCAACGCAGGCTCGACAGCACTTTTGATTCGCCGTTACTCGGATCTTCTGAACCTCAGCCCGAAACATCGAATTACAGAGGACTACTGAAGCTGTGAGCTCTGTGAAAAGCGATGTGAGGACGAACTGTAGATTTTGCGAAGAAGGGAAATGAACGAGTAGTTAAACAGCTGTGAAGACCCTATGGAGGAAGTGAAATTCGAGGAAAAGAGCTGACATCCCTACAACATTAATAAGAAAGCTGATCCGTACACATAATCTTTCACAGTATGCTCATGCAAAAATAGAAACTGGCATGGTAGCGAGGGTTCCTAAGACGTTCTTTTTTCCCTCCACTGTCAAATCGGCTAGCTCATGCATTTCGGTTTCTGAACCCTATTAGTGGCAATTTGCATTCCTGCAATGCGCCTTTAGCTAGCGGAGACCAGGCAATATGTCTGTTTTTCGTTCTCTCTTTTTTTTCCGCAGGAATTACTGATTGAGCTAATCTTCATCTGAAGAGCAAGAGACAAACTCTGATGTCTCCAAGAGGCAAAATGGAATCAAGTATTCTAGCCACTTCATCAGTGCTCAATCATCTAACACCAGTGTAAAAGGAACTTCTTGGAATTAGGCTGAAATCTAGAACGTGTTCGGCACGTGAACTCTGGCATAGATTTTTGAAGATGAGGGATTGAACTTGAACGATCCATGCATGATGACTGAAGAACCTGATAGAATCACCGAAGACTAACGTTCAGAAATAGTGGACCCTGAAAAGATCACCCCATTCAACGGGAATTCGAAGAAGCAAGACACTGGTGCGCGGCAGAGAGGCTAGAGACACGGTAAGGGAACGGGACGACCGTAACGACGAGGTCGAACTATTCAACTATTACTACCCCAGTTTTGCGAAAACAGGCCGGATCTTGATCGACTTTTTTCTACGGGGGTGGATTTGGCTGAAAGTTGGGTTCTAGGGGTAATTCGACCTCCTGAACACGAATATCACATCCACTTGGCCTGAAATTGCCTGGCGCCCGCGCCATAGGCGCCAGTGATTTGGGGCATTTTGGCGCCGGCGCCCGTAGCGCGGACGCGGAGCGGTTTCAAGCCGAGGGAATGTGATATTCGTGATTAGGAGGTCAAACTACCCCTAGGTACAAGTTTTCAGCAGGTCGAATTACCCCTAGAACCCAACTTTCAGCCAAATCCACCCCCGCAGAAAAAAGTCGATCAAAATCCGGCCCGTTTCCGGAAATCTGGGGTAGTAAGGCTGCGTTTATACTTTGCGGCAGCGTAGCGCAGCGTAGCGTAGCGCTTCCAGCGTACGCCAGCGGCAGTGCCGAAGAGAGGATGCATATCGATCTAGCTTCACCAGCGTCACCAGCGGCACGCTGGCGTACGCTAGCGGCACGCTAGCGTACGCCAGCGTTTCTCCAGCGTTTCACCAGCGTTTTGCTAGCGTTTGCAGCGGCAGGGGAGTAGAGACTATGGGAGAGCTGGAGGGTACAAAACTCATCGATTGCGCGTCTCCCACTCGCCCTTAGTCTCTACAATGCACATCGCTTCTGCGTCTCCGACGGCCCCATAGTCTCTACGATGCACATTGCTTCTGCGTCTCCGACGCCACATAGTCTCTACAATGCACATCGCTTCTGCGTCTCCGACGGCCACATGGTCTCTACAATACACGTCGATTCCGCTCTCTCACGGCCACATAGTCTCTACTCCCTGCCGCTGCAAGCGCTAGCAAAACGCTGGTGAAACGCTGGAGAAACGCTGGCGTACGCTAGCGTACGCCAGCGTGCCGCTGGTGGTGAAGCTAGATCGATATGCATCCTCTCTTCGGCACTGCCGCTGGCGTACGCTGGAAGCGCTACGCTACGCTGCGCTACGCTACGCTACGCTGCCGCAAAGTATAAACGCAGCCTAATAGTTGAATAGTGGCGGCTGTTCATATCTGTGCATTTAGGTAGAGGACTGTAATACATCAGCATAGGTAGGGCAGCTTTTGCATGTGCTGTTCCTAGCTGATGGCGATAGTAGTGTCCTTTCCACCTGCTTGATAGCAGCGAAAATGCTACAACTTCCGGGCCATTTCACAAGGGAGGTATTCAGCTTGGTAGATAGGGGTCTGTGTTCGGAGGGACTGAACCGGTCCCTCACGCTCACCTAGTTGGTGTGCTACCAATACCCTACCAGCACCACTTTTCACCTTCTTAGCATGATGGCTTTTATGTCTTATTCGATAGTTGTGTTACGTTGAGTGGCGCAGCTATCTCATCTCATGAAAATTTCGTAGTGATTGGTGCCTTGCACCCATCCATGAGCTTTTTCCTGCTCCACATGCTCAACGACTTCTGTAAAACAATTGGATTTTGGATGAATAAAACCTCAAGTCAAAATTGTGTGCAACAGCTGTTATGTACTCTCGTTATCATTGAGAAATGTCGACAAACGTTCTATTCCTCAACAGCATTCAAGCGGCAGAAACTCGTTCTAGGGTATGACAAATAATAGATGGAGAATTCAGACAAGTTATTCAGTTTTTTTCCAGGACCAGTCAAATAATCCAGTGCCTAGTACAGAACAAAAGTAAAAGAAAGCATCGTTCACATAGTGGAGAACACCGTGAGTAAGGCCCTTGCAGTATAACAGTACAAGTTCTACGGATCTACTCATTTAACGTCAGCAAAGCGATATCCAGCCGCCCGTGTTCACTAACTGATTCCTCGCATCACCCAATGCTGCTACCATCTATCAGTGAAAAAAACGAAAACGCGTGAAATTGACAGGCAGTAACCTTTGAGCTTTGGTGAGCGTGACAACTGGAGAGGCGTCAGAACTGCCACCTGTGAGGGCCACACCGCCTTGGTACTTTCTGAAACCGCGAAATTGGGGATAATTATAGAGAATGAGAACCAGACTACTCGCAGACGGAAGGAGGCCCACGAGTTGCTTGAGGACAACTGTTTTCAACTGTCTCTCGTTTCTATCGATTTTACTAAACCAACATTGCCTTTATGATCCATCCAGGAAAATCGACAGATAAAGAATGAGATGGAATTGTTGTTTGCCCATGCTTGGCTTTTCAGACCGAGCCAGTGTGGGGCTGATGTGACGAAGGATAACACAAACATTTATTGTCGCTTCATATTGAAAGCGGAGAGCTTGACAAATAGTCAGCAGTTGAGAAACTCTTTTGAAAACTGCGTACTAAAGAATTCGCTCATTGTAGTGCGTGAATAAGCATGCCACACATTTTTCATCCTCTTACGGTTAAATGGTAGTACCAGGGTTTAGGGATGTGTAGGCTATCAGGCTATGAGAATCGAATCATCGAGTAGCTTGGAAACCGGCTAGCTATTCAAATTCAATTCAATGTTATTCCCTTGTACAAAGTGCTCATTCACCTCTGCGAATCTTGGTTCCTGATATTTATGAGGTGCCTGTAACTGTACCAGTGGACCAGAGGCGCAGAGGAATGGGGATGAAATATGATGCCCGAGTGCAATCTCCATACTCCGCCCGCGCTGCCGCAAACCAGCCACACACCTAACCATAGCCAAGCGTGCTACTCGCCTGCGCTCTCCTCTCTCTCTCTCTCTCTCTCTCTGGTGTTGACCTCTTCTGAGTAATTATTTCGTTTAGGGATCTTTTTCTCGAAACAGATGCTGCACATTGAGGATAGGGGAGTATGGGCACCCGAGTATTGCTATCCTTCACCCCATTATCGTACAGTTTGATCGGAAATAGTGGTACGCTGCTCAATGTTGCGACCCACCCCCACACGTCGCACATGGCAGGGTCCATGATCCACGGAGGCAGGTGATTGCCTGATAAGTAGAACCTCTTCTTCATAAAAGTAACGCGATCCGGTCCGCAATCTCAGAGGTCGCCTCTGTACACGAGGAGCAGCCATCATCATTCCTCGATGGAACACCACCCATCGAAGTTGCCCTGCCCCTCAGAGGTGAGTGACAAAGGCTCTCCATTCATATGCAAGGAAATGAACAGAGCCTTTTCACTTCCATGTGAGTTTTTTGTCTCCCTCGCCTTTCTGTTCTCTCACACCTTGTCCCTGGTCTCCCGCAAGCGCAACAGTGCCTCGTTTTTCTGAATGCTCACCCACTGCTGAAGCCTTACCTGAAATGCTTCCAATGTGTGCTTCTTTCTTCACTGGCAAACCAGGCAGTACCTTCAAGTTCACAGT